GTCGTTCCTCATTCGACGCTATTTGCACGTCACTCGTCCCTTGTCTCTTGTAGTTCGTCGTTCCACGCTCGTCGCTCTTCGTTCGTCATTCATCATTCCTTGTTTGTCGTTCTTTTTCAGCGTTCGTAGTTCATTTCTTCATATTTTGATTTTTTATATTCTTGATTTTTACATTCTTCGATTTTCTATATTTTTGATTTTTTATATTTTTCGTTTTTTATATTTTTCGACTTTTTATATTTTTGTTTTTTTCGGATTTCCAAATCTTTTTTGTTCAATTTATATGTATCTGGGCTTTCGTCGTTAATCTCCCATCATTCGTCATTCGTGTTTAGTCGTTGTTCGTTCATCGTTCGTCGTTTCTCGTCCGTCTTCATCGCTCGTCGCTCGTCGTTTTCGTTCGTTGTTCGTTGTTCGCCATTGTTCAATCGTCGTCCGTCGTTTGTCGTTCGTCGTTGGTCGATCTTTGTTCGTCATTCGACGTTCGTTGTTCATTGTTTGTCGTACATCTCTTGTAGTTTGTGTTTATTCGCTAATTGCTAGCCACTCGTCGCTCTTTTTTGTCGTTCCCGTCCGCTTGAGCTCGTCGTTCGTCGTTTGTCATTCGTTGTTATTCGTTCCTTTTCTTCATTCGTTGTTCATAATTCGTTTATAATTTTAATTTTTTTACAATTTGGATTTCTATATTTTATGAATTTTACATTTTGTGAATTTTCATATTTTTAATTTTTTATAATTTTCGATTTTTTATATTTTTTATGCTTTTCAATTTTTTATACCTTTCGACTTTTTTATTTTTGGACTTTTCAAATTTTTAAATATTTTTCTTCAATTTATATTTACCTGGGCTTTGGTCATTAATCTCTCGTCGTTCGTCTTGGTAGTTCGACGATAGTGTTTCGTCGTTCGTCGTTTATCGTTCGTCGTTTTTCGTCCATTCGTTGTTCGTCATTCTTTACTTGTCGTTTTTGTTTGTCGCTCGTTCTTTTTTGTTCATTGTTTGTAGTTTGCTTCTTCTCGTGTGTTTGTTCGATCATTTAAAACCGTCGTCCCTCTCTTGTCTGTCGTCCCTTAAAGCTCGTCGCTCGTCGTTCGTCGATTGTCATTCGTCGATATTCGTATCTTTTCTATGTCCATTGTTCATAGTATATTAAAATTTTTAATTTTTTAAAAATTTGGTATTTTATATTTTTTTATATTTTTAATTTTTTTATTTTCCGAAATTTTATATTTTCTAATTTTTATATTATTTGATTTTTATAGTTTTCAAAATTTTACATTTTTTTGAATTTTCATATTCTTTAATTTTAGATGTTTTTATTTTTCGATTTTTTATATATTTTTGTTCAATATATATGTATCTGGGCTTTAGTCCTTAATCTCTCGTCGTTCGTCTTGGTTGTTAGACGATCGTGTTTCGTTGTTCGTCGTTTATCGTGCGTCGTTTTTCGTCCGTCGTTCGTTGGTCGTCATTCGCGCGGAGATGCACTAGTGCGCGGCGAAGATTTAACGGATAGCGTACCAAACTGTTGTACCCAAGTTGGCTGGTTCAAACCCGATCGAAGCCGTGGATTTTAAAGGGAGAAACAATTCTACGTACCCCTTTCTTCGGAAGGGAAGTAATGC